GGCTGCAGTGATGGTTGCCCTTCTGGAACTCTATCCCATCTCCACACAGGATCTCTGGAGCATTCTTCGTCACTTCTCTTACTAAGGCCCTTTTCTTCCAATTGCTTAGTTTGACTGGGCGACCAGCTGGAAGAGTCCTGGTTGCGCCAACCTTCTTCCATTTGAGAATTATGGAGGCCATTGTGCTTTTAGGAACCTTCAGTGCAGCAGAAATTTTATTGTAGCCTTCCCCAGATCTGCGCCTTGCAATAATCCTGCCTCTGAGTTCTCCAGGCAGTTTTTTCAACCTCATGGTTTTTGCTCTGCTACAGAATCCAGTATCAGCTGTGACACCTTCTATAGAGAGGTATATGCCTTTCCAAATCATATCCAATCAATTGAAGTTACCATAGGTCGACTTCATTTAAGGTATAGAAACATGTCAGCAATGATCAAGAGAAATGGGAGGCACCAGAGCTAAATTTCATGTGTTGTTGCAGAGTCTGAATACTTATGCCAGTGATATTTCAGCTTTTCTTTTTAATAAATTTATAGACATTTCTAAAATTCTGTTTTCACTTTTGTCATTATGGGTTACTGAATGTAGATTAATGAGAAAAAAATGAATTTCAACAACTGTAGAATCAAGCTGCAACATAACAATATTGACAAAAGTGAAGGGGGTCTGAATACTTTGTGAATGCACTGTATGTTGAATAAATAAGAGGAGAGAATATAGGTTTGTCTCATTGCTTTGTTAACCTGGCGTCAATCTGTTTTGCTACGTTCCACCCCAACTGTGGCTTTCTGACTTATGAATAGGTTTTGCACGATGACAATAATACGTTCTGGGATTCTCATTTTCCTAAGCACATTCCACAGCTTGACAAGGTCAACATAATAATAAAAAATTATAATTAATGAAGCACATATTGTCTTATTTTGAGCATTCTTTAGTTCTTTCAATTATCCAGCATACATCGACAATAATTTCTTCTATGCCTTGGCCTTTTCTAAAATCAGCTTGAATATTTGACATTTCTCTTTCCTTATACTGCTCTAATCTGTGTTAATCCCAAGCATTATTTTGCTAGCATGCGAAAGGAAGAATATTGTATAACAGTTAGCGCATTCTGTTCAGTCTTTTTTTTTTTTTAATTTGATTTATATGCCGCCCTTCTCCGGAGACTCAGGGCGGCTTACAATGCGCTAAGCAATAGCCTTCATTCTTTTGTATATTTTATACAAAGTCAGCTTATTGCCCCCACAAACTGGGTCCTCATTTCACCTACCTTAGAAAGGATGGAAGGCTGAGTCAACCTTGAGCCTTGGAGAGATTCGAACCAGCAGAAATTGCAGGCAGCTGTGTTAATAACAGGGTGCACTAAACCACTGTACTATCAAGGCTCTTTACTCTTAGTCTTAACTCTTTACTATAGATATATAGAATGACTTTCCAGCCTCTGTGTAATTTTCTGGATTAACTGTCATTGTTTGGTTACGACATTTATAGTTTCTCATTTTGTTCTTTCCATAAGGCATTTTGATGATTAACATCCCTATTGTATCAAATTTTAGTATATTCCTTCCATTTTTGTTTATCTTGCTTTATTGTTTACTTTATGTTACTGTCTGTCTATTTGGAAGGCTTCCCTATTTGTGTCCAATATCAGTGTTTTTATAGATGTTCTTGCAGTACAGTACTGCTTCTTGTCTCATCTAACAGTTCTTTGGAATTCTTTGTTAAATTACTTCATGGTAACTGTCTTTCTTGATTTTGGCTTCTTTTTTTCTTTTTTTCCACCATTAGTTTTATATCCAGCTTGTTCAAGATCATATTGCTTAGTTTTCTTCTTATTGTTGTCCAGTTTAACTTTGAACTTGCACACCAGGAGTTCACGATCTGTTTCACAATCAACTCTAGTCCTTCTTCACTTTTATAACTGAGCTCTTCCTTATACCAATAATGTAATAAATTTGATTTTTTAAAAATTTGACATTCATGCACATAGATGGAATTTTGATAATTTCAGTTTTTAATATGTAGTTGATTCACTCATTTTTCTGCCTTTTTAACTTGGGATTTTATTTTCTTGTATGGTAACATCAACAGTTAGAGATTCTGAAGACCTTAATCCAGCCACATCTGAAAGCTCCTCACTAGGATGCTCAGTGCCAGACAACCTGCTTGGCAATTTATTATCAGCCATTTTATCTTGTCTATCCAATTTATTTTCTTCGGGGGGGGGGGGAGAAATGGTTTACAATTATCTTCTCACATGCAGCACAATGTCTTTGTTGTCACTAAAGTAATCATCTACCTCTAACATCTTCTTGTATCATTGTTGCCCAATATAGGTACATGCTTACGTTAACTAGGCAGCTGGGATGACATTCACACCTTGGGTGAATTTGCTGGAAATATATACTGTACTCTTTGTATATGATCCAAGGATTCATTGCCCGTCCCTCTCAGGAACTCCCCACTGACACAATGAGGTACTACAGCAAGATTTAAGGAGGAATTTATGTTTAAATATTTCTTTTTCAGGGATTTGTGGGTACTTGTATATATGAATGTTGAGTAATAAAAATAGAAAAAAAATTTAAAAAAAAAAATTTAAAAAAATTTGCAGACCCAGTACAACATCAGGTTTGAAAGTTGTCATTATACATATTCTCTTTAGCACGTCCCTATTCTGGGATGGGGACATAAACACACACACACACACACACACAGACACACACACACCTGTTCTGGGATTCAGTGCAGCTGCATAAACTGCAACTCTCTTAAACGAGGCCTGAATGGACCAGCTGAGATAGAATTATTGATGCTCACCAATTTTGTTTTGCCTTCAGGCACTTCGTGCCTGAGTATGATAGTGGATTTCAGCTTCTAAAAAATAATCCCACAGAATCAAAATATAAAATAAATTTTGAATGGGAAAAAAGCATTGAGGTGAAGTTTTATATCACTGGCAATCTCCCACTCTTAGCAAGATGACATGATATCAATAATCACATCCTTTTGTTCTGATTCACAGCACAAAACTGTTGGGGCTCTTTGAGATAAGATTTATTGAGCAACAGGTTCCTAACTGAATCTCCCCCCCCCCCCGTCGCCAATTAGTTAAATTCCGCTTGCTGTGAATATTTTCTTAGAAGGACACTTTAAACTAGTCACATGTATTGTGTGGAGGTGTGTGAGCATCTCATAGGTTTAGTAGCAAATGCTGCTCATATGTGAATGGGAGGTACATTTTCCAACCACATTAAATTGCCTCTGTTGCGAACTGATAGTAAAGGTAAGTAGAACCCATCCCTGATGTTGTGGGTCTCAAAGCAGGTAGAGATTACACAATAGATTTATTTATTCCACCTAAAGGTAAAATTTCACTGAAGGGATTAGGCAGAAAGGAATAAACAAATATTAATATATAACTAAATTCTGGAAATACAAACACTGTCCAAATCAAAAGCAATGCGACCTTTATGCCTGGAAATATTTGGGAAATATATTAAACACTGAGATGTTATAAACTTTTTCAATTGGATGGAAAGCGAGGTGGAAATTTCTGGATTACTTTAGGAGAACTGAGTTGCACTCATATAACCATATATGAATATAAGATTGCTCTGTCCAGCTTTTAATTATTTGAACTGCTTGGTAGCAAACTATCTTGAGAATCTTTCTTTCCCTCCTATAAAAGCAGTTTATAGAAATAATTAGAATGGTACATAAATGTCTTGCTTACGTCTCATCTGCCCAAAGTCAAGTAGAACTTCATTTGGAAAAATGACTTCTGTTCACAAATCACACCAAAATAAATAACAGAAGTTAATATTTCTGTCTGTTATCCAGAACTACAGCCAGCTGCTGAAAATCCAGATGTTATGAACAAGGAAGCAGAATAGTTGTAAACTGTACTTCACAGAAATTCTATGCACTAACAAAAAATTAAACTTCTCCCTGAGAAACTCAAGTGCAACTTCCAACATTCCCTCCCCCCTCCTTCTTCAGATGCACATTTCATCACACGTAACTTCTGACTAATGAGCATAGTTAGGTATTCCTTCTCTTGGATGATACTTAAACTAGATTGGTCTTATTTCCTGAGTTGACATGGCAGGACTGCTTGTCAACTCAGCTATTCCAAAATGATCTGCTTCTCCAAAATAGCATAGAGCCCCTTCTGTCTCCAATGAACATTTTCCTTCATGCTAGATTTTGTAAGGTTTCTCCTAGCTGCATGAGCTTCTACTAACTGCATTAAAAACTTATTAACTGTACCCATTATATTTTTAAAAGCTGTAATGCTTAAAGTACAAACTTCACTACAATGTCATTTTGCCAAACATTTGCACAGGCCAAGTGAATTCCAGGAGGGAGTACTGGCAATAATATTTTAGTAGGCTGTGCTGTTTCTTTTGGGTGAAGTCCAAACTAAAGTCTTTTCTTGGTAATTGTGTAAGCTATTGAAGCTTAGTCTAAAGCACATAGGATAAAATAGTCTGGACTCAGACCCATAGGTTCTGTTGAGAAGGCAAGAGAGAAAATTGAGGCAAACATTGTCACACTCCTTTACGCTGTTATGCAAGGGTGGTCTTGCTACTGCTTAAATCCTCATTTACACAAATTCAGCTTTGGGGAAAGGAGCACTCTCAACTTGAAACTTTTTTGGGAGTTTCAGAAAACCTTGTTAACATCAGTTTATACTTACTGCATATTTAAAATGTTGCTTGAAAATATGGGTAGCAACTTTCTGTAAAGCTCCAGAATGTCTGGTTTTCTTCTCCTGGTTGCACAATTTCTTGGGTGGTCTTGTTATTATTATTATTATTATTTGGAAATTCTATGATGTTCTAAATGTGACAATCTGTGCAAAATAGAGATGTTTAGGAGATTCAACATGTCTGGAACAAAAAAAAAATTCCATTAAAAAAACTTCTAGAAAATCTGTGGACCATCCTCAGAATTAGCACAACTAGAGGAGAAATGGGACATTCTCCAAAATTTTTGCTTAATGGAATGGTAGTTGCTATTCATACCTAATGGACAGCCTGTTTAGTTCTGAGGGCTTCTCATATTGTAGTTATACCTAGAAAAGTAAAGTGTGAAGAAGAGAAAAGCATATCATGTCATAAATATCAGGGAGACAGAAGTCTTTAATAAAATTCATTGGTCCAATATAATATGCAATATGTTTCATTGTAAATCTGTCATTTTGCTTACTAAGAGTGAAGGCTAACTTAATGGGGGATTTGTTCAAGTCTATGCTGAGCCAATATACATATTTCAAATATGAATTTGTTATGTACTTGATAGTATTGTCTTTGATTTCAGCATTAGCATTTATTACCAATCTTTCCTAACCCATGGCTGGTTGAAGAATTCTAGGAATTGAAGTCCCTACATCTTAAAGTTGCCAAGATTGAGAAACATTGTTTCATTCTGTTAAAATTTTTACTCTATTAAAATGTATTCAATTAACAATTATTAATTTATGTAGTACTTCAGAAAGTAAGACCACTTAATACAGTACCCATTATTTAATTCACGGGTTCCCAAACTTTCACGGTTCTTCCCTCCTCAGGGAAGCCAGCCAAATCCTTGTGCCTCTGCACTAAAAGGTGTAGATTTGGGAGCTTTGGTTTTCACCAGCACTTAAACCAATTTTCTTTCTTTCTTCCTTTATCACCAGATATCAAAATCAAAGGCTGTTTGCACTTTCATGTTAATAAATTCCATGAAATATCTAAATCTATAAGTCTGAAAGATTTTTTTTGCTTTTGTTAATTATGGAAGAAAAACACCGTCAAGTCCCAGTTTTCTTTCTAAAAACAAACAAAGCAAAGAATGGATATATTACAATACTCGCCTCTTTATCACCCTCGAGGGTTTAGTGGAAATATTGATATTGTTTTTCCAGTCAGAATGGTTAAAGTCAGGGCAACTTTTGCAAAAACAATATTGTTGGATTTATAAACTATTTTTCTTTCAGGAGCTCAAACTGCTGTACTTACTTGTTTTTCTCCACAACAATGTACATATACTAAGTACATATACTACAATCCCAAATACTAAGTTGGACCTAAGATTTATTTTTGATCAAACTAGCACCAAAAATCCAGATGTCACAAATAGATAGTGGCAAATGGGATGTTCCAAGATTTGCTTCCCAAGAGAACTATAAGCATCAGCTAGGGAGCACCAGAAATTACCCATTTTTATAACTCAGTTATAATATTTCTTCACTCACAAATCGGTCAAGTCATCCTTAGCAAAATTAGAATCACCAAAGGGTGTTAGTTCAAGAAGAAATACATTCCAACTATGTTTCGGTTTTAAGTAATCAGAATGGAACCGATTGTCATAGATACAATCTAAAATACAATCTAAGATGTTTATCAATATTTTTCTCCAGAGAAACAGTCAAGATTTTCTCATCCTCAGTGCTTGCTGCACAATGTACTTTTTTAGTATTGTTGGAAATCAATTGTAAGTAACTTTCTGCACTCTTCGCTTTGAGAGAAGCAGTTTGGCCAGAAACACTTAGATGAATCCATGATGGTTAATGAATAGTCTTAAAGTGATTTACCTTACGAGTAAGTAGTTGAAAATCCTTTTCAATATCTATCAGTTCAGGAGTAAAGTCTTCTTTTTGAAATACCCAGAAGCTTTATGTCTTTCTCTCATACACAAAGATCAGTGGATTTCTGCATGGTACAAGATTTTTATTCTTATTTCTTTGTAATGCTCCCGACAGTCAGTAGGACTTCTTTTAAGACTGGGAAGTCTTTGAGACCAGTACATGGCAGTAAGTCACTGAAGCAAGTAGAACTTCTTTCATAGGAAGAGAAAATCTTGATTCATTGCCAAGATTTTTGATATTCTATCCATTTATGTTTCCCAGCTTCACCTTTGGTTAACCTGTGAAAGAATAATTGGAGTACTACAGAAACTCACCTATTAGGTTAGGTAACAGCATTGTATTTAGAACTTTTTAGCTTTCTGCAAAGTAGTTAATGGATGACATAATGAGCACTATTTATATAGCACCCAGAATCATTCTGTGAGTGAAATGAGCAGTGCTTAAAATTTGATAAGTAAATAAAAATCAAAGTAAACAAAATCACACCTGGTTAAAAAAAAAGATAGAATTTTTTTTTCTCCTTCTCACAATTTTAGGACTCAAGAATAATTAAGTAAAGGCATATGTGGAGGAGATTTAACCTGAAAAAAGGAAATTGGTGAAATTCTGGTAAGGAGATGATTTTAACGGAGGATTGGACAATTTCGTGGAGGGTTGGGCTACTCATGCTGCATCTTGGTAGTTTACAATCTTGGAAATTAGAAATGATTTATCTTAAATAACAGCTACTATGGAACACAGGAAAAAACTGTTACTCTCTTGACTAATTCTGAGCTTTTTAAATATATTGTGAAGGGGTGTGTGTGTCACAGTGGGATTAGACTGGGTTTCTGGGCTGAGTCAGGAGGTTCCTTTCTGTTCTTATATTAAATGCAAATGATTTGAGATGCATTAGAATCTGAGCAGACTTTGTTCTTCAGTTTTCTTTACACAAATATTCAGTTAGTGCAGGGTTAACAACCTATAGTCCATGGTCCACATCAGTGGTGGGTTGCTACCGGTTCACCCCGGTTCGGGTAAACCGGTAGCAGTGACGGGAGACTCCGCTCACCCGCCCAGATATCATCAAATATGCTCTGCGCATGTGCAAGTGAACTGGTAGCAAAGGTAAGTGAAACCCACCACTGGTCCAAATGTGACCTGCCACCCAAAATCATCTGGTCCATGGTTCCAAAAAGAAATATATCCACCTGGTCTGTGAGAAAAAGGCAGAGCGTGCTCGAAGTGTTCTCATTTGGCCATTTTCTGCAATGGTTTTCTCAGCTGCCTTTGTGTGGGTAGTAGAGCAACAAAGCTCTCAGCATAGCCTTCAACCCGTACCCAGAGGAAAGTTGCCAACCACTGGCTTACAAGCCTTCTGATTTGTCAAATAGTCTTTTCAACAAAACTTTCCCTATCCTGTTTCTGCTCTTCTGAAGGCCATTTTTAGATTTGCCCAGTCCGCTCATTTCTTGCACCCCCATATTTTCAAAGGGCACATTTATTTTTATTGTAAGCAATTTTCTCTATTCAAAAACATTACAATTAATAGCCTCTCCAGCTTCCTTGCCAAGAAATTCTGGCTTTGACCCTTTGTTTCTTAAGAGGGTTTCCTTTTTAGTTTCTATCTTGTTCACACATCATTTTATGTCATCAATTTTGCACATATCCTGAAGAGAACTCTATTATGATTTTAATAGCCATATGCATTTTTTCCCCTTTGGTCACCCGCCACCTTGCTGTGAAATAAATTTGGTTGACATGCTTTTGTCTACTTGGCACTTAGTTCTCTTTGGCTGCATTTGAATGTTTTCATTTTGTCCTTCTGCTCACTGCTGTGTTAGTAAATGTGATTTTCCCAGTTATGGAAATCCTTTTAGTTGTTTAAAGGATGTTTTATCTCTCTTTCTCTTGTTCTTGTATTTGAAAAGCCCAGAGGAAGGAATTCTTTTGGCAAAATGAATCAAACTGATTTTATGGATGGATTTACTGGTGATTTTAACAAATGACAGAACAAAAAAGCCAATAAGGTTATTAAGCAAGTTCAGGTAGAGAATACTGTCATACCACTCTGTATATTAGTATTCTCTACTTTAACTTTTGATTTATTCTCTCCAGGTCAAGCTGAAATAATCAGCAGATTTTTTTTCTAATTATAAAAACACTATAATTGTAATTGTAATGAGTTAACGTAATCTAACATACACTTTGGAAAGCCCCAATCAAAGAGCTTTGAATAATGATAATACTTACATCAATATTTCTCAACCCTGATTGCTCCAAGATGGATGAATTTCAACTTCCAGAATTCTCTCACCTGCATGCTGGCCAGGAAATTCTGGGTATTGAAGTCCACTCAGCCTAAAGCAGCCAAGGTCAAGAAACACTGACTTATATGATAGATTTAAAATCCTAGGCTATATTTCATTCTCACTCCCATTTTCTTTTTTTTCCTTAGTGATTACATGCATTTTTCCATGTTATTTTTTTCCCCTCGATGTACAAATGATTTCTTCACTGTGCTGGGAACCCATTGCTGTCTTCTGGGTTATGTTTTCAGTATTTCAGTTTGGCCTATAGTCTTGGAGTTTCCATGTGGTCTCCCATCCAAGTACTCCCAGGTACCAATCATGCTTAACTTTTTTGGTATCAGTTAAGGTTAGTCAGATACAGTTATCTCTTATAACAAAATCATAGGCAGCTAAGTAGGATAACTGTATTCAATTAACCTTGAATAACTAGACTGAAAAAGATGTAGGCTACATCTATATAAATTTTGATTATATGTAAATATGAATAAAAATAATTGTAATTGTTTGTAGTCATACATTTTTGCCTTAAACATTTACCAATTTCTATATTTAAAATGTAATTAATCCTCAGAAGCAGCTATAGCTTTGGTTTAATGAATGCATTGATTCAGCACATTGGACAACACAATTATAAGAAATTAAGGTACAATATGCAAATAAAATATACAAATTCCTTTGCTTAAAAGGTTTGCTTATTTAATCTGTGTTTAAAATGCTGACAAAGTAATCAGAAATTTGTAAAAATGTGTACTAATTATGCAATTTCATTTGAGAAACATTTTTTACTGGAGAAAATAGTAGGATTGTAATATACTTACTAGAGATTACATTAAAATATGAAGGTCAGAACAAACAAATAAAACACTTGGGTGTTATTACACCATATCTGAAATTTTTTCAATGTTATTTAGACTCACACATATTTCCTAACTTTTACTATTGAGGAATCCCAAGGAAACTTCTTGAGCTTCTATCAAGATCATATCTATCTTTTGCTAAGATATCTCTTGCTTCAGAAAAGGCTGTATTTTTCTGCCTAGCAACATGTGTCTTATTGGCTTTTTAAGTCACAATATTAGGATTCTGGTTTCTATGGTGACAGAAAAATACACTGCAAAGAACTTTCAGGCTGTTTTTAAAAGTAGGACTTGCTGGATCATAAATTCTGAAAGGCTGTTCCAGTTTATCAACATCCTATGATTAAAAAAAAAAGATTATGAAGAGAGGAATTGGCCTTCATCTCTGTTTTCAGTCAAGGTGTATCCTAATACATTTTTGTAATTCTAGACAGTTGCAAACAAGTTCTGGAAATTAAGGAATTAGTAAAACTTCCAGAGTCAGGCCTTATGTTAGACAAGAAAGAAAGAAAAAGGCCAGAAAAGAAACCCCATGGGCATCTTTAAAAAAGCTGTAATGATACTTAAATTTTATAGTTATGTTATCTGAGAAAGAGAGAGATTTTAACAGAGATTGAAGGACTCCATCCAATTCTAGTGAAAGGTGATCAAGAAAACTTTAAAAATTAATACCAGAATTTATTCTCCTGTTATTAAAGTGTTGAATTTACTATGAATGGGAGAATTGAAGGAAGAATAAAAAGTGTGCTGTTTCCATATGGAAAACAACTGTCATTCTTTCCTTGTAACTGTCGTCTTTTAACATTCTATTGCTTCTCTCAACCTGAAGATGGGATTTCAAAAGATTCTTTGATTATTTAAGTCAGGCCTGTCAAACTGGTGGCCCACGGGCCGGATACATCATGTGCAAGCCACACCCACCCCGGCTCCGCAAAGGCAAAAAATGTCACAATACTTCACGATCCAGCCCATGACGTGATTGAATTTGACACCTGTGATCTAAGTGAAAGGAAAGATAGTGATTAGGTTCACACATTGAGATAAGATAGGACTTTATTTAGCTTTGACTTAGAGTGTTATGTGAATTCAACCATTGGGGTCAACTAGATTGTTGTGAGGGCATATAAAAGGAAGAATTAGCTAAAGAAAGAGGAAGTTTGAGTTTACTAGATCTCAAAGAGTATTTTGATGCCTGCTGTTTGCAATGGATAAAAGACTGTGTTCCTCTCCAAAACAAGAGATTACTTGAACTAGAGGACCATGAACTAAGATTTGGATGGCACACCTACTTATGGTATTACAAGATAAAAATAAACACTGATTTAAGAACCATTCTTGTTAAGGGCTTGGAATTAATATAAAATAAGTTCCTCTACAAAGATACTCTTTGGGTGTCATCTCAAGGGGCATTTTTTAAACAAAAGAAACAATGGCGAGGCCAGACAGTTGGACTTATATCAAATAATATTTTTTAATCAAGGTGACCTAATCTCAAGCCCAAAGAAGAATTGGAGTCAGAAGGACATTTTTTTTCATTTATTACAATCTCAAATCCATAACTTTTTTTTAATCTTATCTGAATCTTTCAATTCTAAGTATTTACATGATTTTCCCCTTTCCTAATATCTTTATTTTCAGTTGCGTGTTATACTTATATTTTATTAAGTTTAATAAGGATTATATATTTTGCAAAAAATAAAGTAGATTAGCAATAAATATATGTTATGCTTCAATGAATGATTACATACACTGAGATTACATATCAGACCCATATATAAAGGCACTATTAGAAAGCAGCAATAAAAGTGGACAAGTATTTTTTGTGACTTTCCTCAGAGATCTGGGAGGGAGTCATTAAATCATAACTCATGTAAAGTCTTTTTTTGCTTTTAAAAACAAATCTCCTAACTCCCCTCTTTTTCTAATAGATCAATGTTTATTGCACCTATAAAGTGCTATAAATATAGCATCTGCTTCTATATTCAGAAGGCCATTACTGGATTTTAAAATTCAATCATTAATTTAATTTACCATTTCAGTGAGAATCAGGATTTGTCTTCTTAACTTTGGAGAAACATGTTCCTATGCAACATCTCATAGTGAACTAAAGGGAAGGAATTCCATGAATAAGGAGAAATTAGATTTTTCTCATTTTTGCTAAGAAAACAAATTTTGGTAAAGAAATAAGAAATTTTGATTAACACATTGTACTGGAATACATTAAAAAGCACCTTTTATTTTTATTTTCAATACTCAGGGTCACAAAAGACTTGTTATTATTGACATAATGCCTACACGTGGAATGATGTTTCTATGATATTGGAGCCTGTGTGAATTTATAAACACATTCCACATAATGATAAATACCCAGCCTACAAATACATGTCTTTCTGTTTTGTTTGTTCAGATGAATTTATATGATATGTAGATTTACAACAATAATCCACCTAGTAGCCCAATACTGCTTTTGTACCAATGAAGAGCCTCATGTATTAAGAGAAAATTAAAACAGAATTATGGTTTTCCTGATGTTGTTCTAAGGGTAAAAATAAAGTTTAAAAGTGGTAAAGGCATTTTGAAAATACTTTAAAAACACATACACTATTTTTTTTCTACTTTGTGGAAAAAGCTCAGATGAATTTTAAATAATGGAACATAGATTATTGGATTTTCCATTCTTTGTTACCATTTTCAAAAAGCAGACTCTTTGGTTACCAAAGAGGTCAGAGAGGAACAAGAATAGAACTTCCTAGGGACACACACACCTGAGAATGTTTGTTACACTAGACTAGTGATTCTCAGCTTGTTCTATTTCTATCCCCCAATCCCTAAATCAAAGAACTTGGATTTCACTGTGACACAAACTAAAAGCCCAATTTTCTTTGTACATTTAAATGAATTCTGTTACTATGTTAATTATTTTAAGTAAGCTTTAAGAAAATAAAAATGCAGTGGCGTTAAGTAAATTGTACTGCAAAATAAAATAAAAATTCCATTAGTGCTGAAAATTATAATGATACCACTGAGGAGAAAATATCATTCTATATCCTAGAAAATAAAATCAAGAAAAAATATGCCATTATGAGGAAAGCTCTGATACTAATTTTACTTGATTGATACGAAAGCTATGGTTGCATTCACTGCCTAGCAGGTTCATTCTGGAATTGTTGTTTGAAGCAGTAATGCATAGTGTGGCTTGGTTGAAAATGATGCATTTTATTTTTGGAGTTGTCATCTCAGTGAAAACATTCTGATACCAGTAATTTGACAAAAAGAGTAGAAGTTTTTAATAGCTTTTCCACGAAGTACTTTGTATTTAGATTTGCTTCACATCACAAAATATCTAAATGCTAACTTTTAAATAATTCTAATATTCAATCACTTGGACAAATAAAATGTCCCAAGAAGGTAACAAACAATTTATTTGCTTTATTATCACTTTGAAATAATGGATTAATAACCTACAAATATTAGTTTGATATTGGCTGCAGATGGAAAATATTCATTAAATCAGAAATGTGTACAGATACTCTGAAATAACAAACTACCACATTTTATATTCCCTGGTAGATTTGCAAACAATACCACTTACGAAATATTCCTCCATCAAAGCTTTTCTTCTAAAAGGCTAATTTATTTTTGAAAGTTTCTATTTTATTTGGAAGATGAGTTGTAAATTAATTTCATCTAGAAGCTGAAATGTATTTCGTATATACATGCTACTTTCAATATTACTGAAACATTATTCAGTGGTTATTAAAGTTTTAAAATTAAAGTACTTAATTTTTTATTCCTGAATAATACTTTATGATATGACAGTCTTATCCTTCAAAGATTTGGCAGTTTAGAAAGTTTAGCAGATTTGGCTTTAGAAAGATTAATAGTTATTTTTTTCAGTTAGATTACACATCAAACAGTTCAGGAGTCATCTCCTATGCAAGGATTTCATAATAGACCATGTGGTATCTACGGTAATTTATCAATAAGTTATCAATAATACTGTAACTAGGTAATGTCCAGAGACTATAAGCATAATGTGCAGACAATCTATGATCATGATACATTTGGGGGCACTTTCTCCTCATTGGGTATTTGGAGCTGAATTAAAAAAAAATCAAAATGGTGCCCATCATTTTGAGATTGATTCCCACACTTTTTATTTGTGCCATGCACAGTAAGCGCGAAAAAGAAGCATGATTTTAACTGTGTGATCACAACCACTCTTCTGACCCCCCCCCTTGTGAATACCCCTAGTTACTGAAAAAAAAATCCTGTCAGAGTTACATTGTTTGAAATGTATGTTGATTCATCAGTTGAAAGCACAAATCTTAAAATTTATCAATGGGATAATAAACTGAGCTTCACCATCGCAAAATGTGTTCTAATTTGTCACATCATTAAATAGAGAATTTTAGTTACTGCATTTACTACTTAATCTCAAAGTACTCTGAGCATCTGTTATTGTTGGCTTTATCAATGTCTCTCTTATTGTATCCAGCTTTTTTTACTTGACAATCTGGAAATAAATTTAAAAAGATACATGGAGTATAGTATAAGGTTACAGTTTGCCAAAGCAAACTCATTGTTTCTTTCCTTTGAGTTTTATTGCTGGTTTAAGTTATTAAAAATCGTCAGTAGGTCTTTTCTTGAGATAAGCATCCTTTGTTTACAAATGTCCCTTTAGAGTGATAGATTTCATTGTGCAGTTCAATGACTCTATATTTCTTATAGAGTGGATTGGGCACTCTATTAGTTCCTTTGTTTGACAAATCATATTGAAGGTAGCTGACATACTTCTTGTTTACCGTCTTTTGTTTCTTCATGGCTGCATAACTATGTCAGATATTTCTAAAGGTTCTGGAAAGGTGAAACCACATCTCTTTATTGAATCCTTATTATAGGACTCCATCAATTTCACAACAGAATTTGTTTTGTTTATATATTTCCATTCCATTCCATTTAATATTAATCTCAGACTTTCAAAATATCAAGCTAGATATTCTGTTCCCTTCCTCCTTTATTTCAAGTAATACATTGGTTTGGTTACCAGTGAACTTGAAACAGTTTAGGAAAGATATGTTATATATTAAGCATATTTTATTTTAAGATATTGTATTGCAAATCAGCAAGT